TTCCAGACAGTAACCCAACATACTACTGGAAAAATGAACAGCAGACCCCAATTCTATCCAAAGGAATACTGACAATGGATTGCTGTAGATGAGGAACAGCTGATCCTCCTGGAACAGGGACCTCTGGCTGACTAGATTTACCAGAAGGGCAGACAGGGGGGAATGGATGAGGGTGCTGACAACACAGTGGACAGTGACAGGGATGGCAGAGTATGGAGCCTCTAGTGGGAGAGGAAGGCTGTCTATCTGACGAGTTTGTATTCATGCTCAGATGCCGAGGAGCTCAGAAGGTGGGTGACTGTGACCAGTAATAGTCATGTATATAGAGATTAGAAATGCATGTGAAAACGTCTCAATGTCAATTGCCTTGGAATGAATTCTACTGTATGCAAAAAAACAAACAAGTATCTTCTTGAAGTCCCTCAAATATTTTATTTATTTTTATTTTGCATGTATGAGGGTTTTACTTGTAAGTACACCAATGTATGCAGTGCCCACAGAGGCCAGAAGAGGGCATTGGATCTCCTAGAACTGGAGTTACAGAAGTTGTTATTCACTTCTGTGTGTACTTGCCAAATACCTAGAGTAAACACCAATGGGACAGATCTATATCAGATCATCACTCAATAAAAACATAGTTTACATGTATTAATGCATCACAAACAAAGCACCTCATAAATATGTACAAGTTTTTAGTATGTGTTGGAAACCATTATTCTACTCTTTTGAGTTGCTTTTTTCTTTTACCTGGATTGCTGCAGAACCCTCTGCTGTGGCCTTTGTCCACAACTGTCTGTTTTCAGTATACTAGTCATTGAGGTCCTTGTATAATAGAAATTAGATTATACTGTTGCTCTCAAAATCTTTGAGCGGCCCCCTTTTACTAAAGATACAAGTAGGTCATAAAAATGACCCGAAAGACCGTGGACTCTGGCTCCTGTGCTAACCCACCAGTCTTCCCTTTCTACTCTTTCTCACTCTGTCCTCTCTAGTTAATCTGGCCTTTTGCCTGTCTTTTACACAGATCAAACATGTGTCTGCATAAGCGCCTTTGCTATTCTTTCTTGCTTTGTTGTTGTTTGTTTTAAATTGAGATAACATGTATAGGGCACAGAATTAGCCATTTTAAAGATTCAAATGTATGCTGACAAGTTGCAGCGTTGTACAGCTCTCACTAATATCTTATTCCAGAATGTTTTAATCACTGCCAAATAAACCCTGTTCACATGAAATAGTCCCTTTTCTTCTCAGTTTCTCATCCTTTACCCTCACCATCACTAACCTGCTTTCTGTCTTGATGGATTTACACATTCTGAATATTGCACATGGGTGGAATCATTCAATATGTGATCTTTTGTGTCTGCCTTTCAGTTTTGTTGGTATGTTTTCAAGGTTCATCCACAGTATAGCAATATATCATCTAATTGTACTTTATTTTTTTCTGACCTACTAAATATTTTTCTTATGAATTCTATCAATAGGTATTTTGTGTTATTTTTGGTGTTTGACTCTTGTGAATATCTTACTTTAGACATTTACAAATATTTATTTGAATTCTCTGTAGAAGTAGAACTGCTCAGTCATATGATACTGCTGGGTTTACTGTTCTGAGTAACCATCAAACTATTCCATAATAGAGGAACCATTTTATATTCCCTTTAGCACTTGTATTCTCACCGACTTCAGGTTTTCACTCAGACTTCACCCTGTCAGTGAGATCTACCTTGATCATCCTATTGAATCCTGGAACCTGCTACAGTCCCCATCCTTACTTCATTAGTATTCTTCTTCCCTGTGCATGCTTATCTAGTCTTCTTTTTTAGACACATGCGCAATGCTCCATATGTAGTACCTCTTAAATGTAGAAACTCGCCTCTTACTCTTCCTGAAGACACAGGACCTGCTTATCTCAGTTGTCCATCACACAGTTGTCATTGTCAGAGCATGTGTGGTTAGTTAGAGAAAAACTGAATTTTTCATGTTCATTAAAACCGGTGACACACTCGTTAAAGACCCTGCTATCATCTCCTAAATAATGAGGTTGCAACTTCATGATTCTAAATTATTTCATTGATTGGGTTTCTATCAATGCCTTCTCCCAAGTCTAGCAAATTAAACATAATTTTTATAACTCATAAATGCTGATTGAATTTATTCTTCTTAGCAACATTAATTTCAAATGGAGGCAGTATTGATGACTATATATTCAATTGAAATAGTATCCTAAAAATAGTTATGAAAGGCTTCTTGTCTGTAACACAAGTGAAAAATAAGAGGCCTTACGCTCATCTAGCTGCTTCCCTAAGTCTCTTCACTAAGGGAGAGTGCAAGAGAGTGCATTCATAAAGAGATTTCTTCACAGCTAACTGAAGGGCACTTTAAGATTGAGGTATAATTCTATTAAACATGGGACGTCCAGGCTGGCATCTTGTCTGGAGTGTCTGCACCCACCCTCAGCTCTGGTCAGAGCCATAACAGGAGGATTGACCTCAGCCTGTAGCTGATGAGCTTTTTCTAAATAGATTTCCTGGTATGTATGCCTTTGTTTTTTGAAGCTCAACGTTTGATTTGCTCGTTTTATTTACATTTTCCCATAATCCTTCCTTTTTAAAAAATTCAATCAAGAATGAATTGAGACCATTTTCTTTCCAAAAGATTCAGTGTTCTTTTGGCCAGTTTGCTGAGGCTATAGACATTCTCAGTAGTACAGTGATATTCATGGATTTATGGCAGGAGAATTTAAAAATATTTGAGTTTCTAAAGTAAGAAGTAAAGTAATAGTCAAGTTGTGTTATTTGAGTGCCGTTTCTATTAAGTCTGGATATTGAACTGAACATGAAAGATAATATATTTTATGAATAGGGAAATGGTTCAAGCATAAGAAACAGAGAACAGATCCCAACACTGAAGAAAGTTGCCCTAGATGGACATGTGTTTGTTATTGTTTCCTGGATAACAAGAGATAAAACAGGGCCTGGAGGGCTCATTCCTTCAGTTTGTGGACATACTGAGAAAGCTTCCCCCACTAAGAGATCTTTATAATTTTTTCAAGTTCATTTCATGGTCCAAGTATCTATTTCATACTGTTTGAGTGTCAGTATCAGTGGCTGATGAACTTCTCCCAGATAGGTTTTTTGAAAAAGCAGCAGTGGCACAACAAAATGATTAATAGAATTTATCTCTTTCCCCCATTTCCATAGTGTCTTCACAACCTTGCCTTGCCATCTATTGTACCCGTTTCTGACTCCTGCCAGCCAGAGAGCTCTCTGCATTTGAGTACTCGATAATCCTTTGAATTACCTTGCATAGTAGACTCTTACTAGGATGAGAGTAATGTATATCAGAGACCATGGTAGCCAGCTGTATTCAGCTGTACTGTCTTTCCTATTGAAAGACACTTGAAAAATTTCTTAGAATGCAAAGAAATATTCTTAAACACAAGCTATCATGGTACTGTTGTAATTCTATATGAACCTCTTTCGTCTTTAGGGACATGGACTAAATTTTGGTTGTCTGACTTGAGGTGGTGCAGGTTCCAGGAAATGAAATGTGATGCTCTCAAATCTGCTATTCTTCAGTGATCTTTCTTTCAGAGAAGCAGACACTGGGAAGATTTGTTGCAAGATTGCTGTATACTAATAGGTAGAAACAGAAGTGACTATGTAAACCAGATGTTTTTTCCAGGCCTCTACTCAGAAGTAGGATTTCATCATTGGCATGTATCATTTTTCTCTTGTTTACCTACAGTGATTAAAGGGTGTTTATCTAGTGGTGTGCACAGTTACTGTGTGTACTGCTCATTTGCATGCTCTTACCACCATGGTTTCTACACAACATGATATTTCTCTTGTTATTTCTTTTATTACTTCAGAAATTGTCATATTTGAAATCTAAGACATGAATAATATTTATTTTCATATAAAATCACTAGGGAGATTTGTTAGACAATGTCTACTTCCCAGACTTTGGCAAGAGGTTTTACAGCATTTCCTCCTAATTTTCAGGGATGGATTTGTATTATACATACATCTTAACTTGTTATTATTGTAGAATTTCATTGCTTTAATTTAGAAAATTCCAGCCTTACTTTATTTCTCTTTGTAAGATTCCACATTCTTTTCCTCTGGAATTATCCAAAAGAAATTATGTGTGCTACCAACCCTGTATTAATTCAGTGCATTTTCTAAAGTAGATCATTCATATAAAAGGAACACAGGTTTGGTGACATCGTTTCCACTCTTCTCTGTAGTGTAACACAGTCTTGTCCATGTTTCCCACAGGTCCACATCCAGCCTTCCGAGTGGCACCGTGCACTTTTTCTTCCACAGGCCTGGCTGGCGTATATGACTCGAGCTTATCATGCCATTTTACAAGTAAGGACACTGTGGAGATTTACTTTGTGGGGGAGCATTTCTTCCTTATTTATCACTATTTTTACAACAATGTAAAAATGTTACTTTGAGAATTTTTGAGAGAGGGGCATGGCAGTGAGACATCTGCCTGCCTTCTCCTAAGGTCAAAAACTGAAGTTCTATTCCACCGAAGTTCCCTTTGGGGCACCAGTGAGTTTATTTGGCTTACTTACAGAGCATGAATGAAAGATTACTTACAGAAGTGTGGATGACCTGAAAGCAGCTGCATGAAAAGGCTTTATCTGGACCCTGCCCTTCCCTGTTTGTGCACAGTTTTTCCTGGTTGTTTAGATCAGCTCATTAGAGAAGGTCCCTGGTACTCTCACTATGTGCTTCCCTCTGTACCTCACTCGTAGCTCTGTCTCCCTTTTGAAGTTCTTACCACATTGATTTTTCTATCTGGACCCTTTTGTCCCTGTACAATGAAGGTATGTTTCATTGTCTCTTTTCTCTGCCACCTTCACAAATATCTAAAAGAACAGTTGTTAAGTAAATAAATGAGATATATTCAATTTTACTTCATTCAAACCAATGATACAAGTGTTTGTATATTTTTAAGATTTCAATTTTTTTTATCAGTTGGGAACTGCATGAACAATCCACATAATTCTTTTTCCTAGCTTAAAAGTCATTTTAAGAATGATAAGGGAAAAAATCTGGTATTAAGTAATTTCTATCCCAGAATAAGATTTATGGGGAGTTTAAGGGATAGTGGTACTGGAATTAATGATAGCAGCAACCCTTTAAAGACAGATTGGGTAAATGAGAGTTTGGGGTGGGTGGAGCAGTAAGGATAACTGATGACTGACTGAGCTTCTGGCCATTTGTAGTTACATCTAAAATTAGACCATTTGTGCAACAGTGGAATTATTAAGCCCAGAATTTCTAGAACACTGATATAACTGAAGAGGTTCTGATTCATTAGCACTGAGTTCTCTAATATCCTGCCAGGCACGTTTATGTGCTTAGTCTACAGCCACACTTTCAGCAACATGGTTTTAGGTGGTTCCCCAAATACACTGTAATCTGTGTTTCAAAGCTCTTCCTCTGGAGTCCTAGTTTCCCTTGCTTCTTTTTTTAGATCCAGTTTTGAATCCTTAGTGATATGAGCACTCAGTATGTTTTGAATAGATGCATGAGTGAATGAATGATTTTCACATGTCTCTTTGTACTTCTGCAGCCTCATTGTACACACCCTTAGACAATAGGTTCTATTCAAGAGGCGTGAGAGTGCAAGTCAGAACATACACTTCTTCACATTCGTGATTCCCTGAGTCATTTGCAGTTTTTCCTGCACTCAGCATTCATGGTAAAGTTTTTCCTGGCTGAGTTTGGTTCTAAATGTGTTGTATACAAAGGAAAACGAAACACCCCTTCCTGCCAGCAAGCCCCCTATCCAGTGAGGGAGGTCATACTGCATCGCTTTGTGCTTTAATAAAAGGACAAAATGCTACCAGCACCTGGAGAAGGGAGTTAACTCCTTCTGTAGAATCAGCTGAGATTTAGTATAAGAAAGGCAGAATTGAAGAGGATCATGATATAATTCTTGGATGACATGCAGTTGATTAAAAACAGCCCATTTTCCCCATACTTTTTATTGAGTTACTAGTATGTATCTAACAACATTATTTCAGTTAATCTTTACAGCGATCCATTCAACTATGTGTTTATTAAACCCATATAAAATGGATTATAGGTTGAGAGGCAGGAAAAGAAAGCAAACGATTCAGACTCAACAGTTAGTAATGAAAGAAATAGAATTTGAGAATGGTCTCACTCCAGAGCCTCAGACCTCTCCACTGTGTCATGTTTACCTAATGCCATCATTAATTATAATAATAAATAACATTGGTCTAACATTTTTTACTTCATTTATAAATTTTTTAATGTATGTCTGTATACACCCCCCCCCCACCCACACACACACAAGTGCGTGCCATGGCATACATACGTCTGTAGAGCGCAGTTTGTGGGAACCAGTTTTCTCTTTTCACTATGTGGATTTGAGGATTGAACTCAGGTTGTCTGGATTGGTGGCAAGCACCCTTACCTGCTGAACCATCCTGCCTGGTCCTGGTCTAATGTTTTAGAGGAGGAATCTTTTTATGAAAAGCCTTTTATTTTTAGTACTGCCAATTCTAAAATTTTCCTGCTGTTGTAATGATGTGTACATTTGTTTACTTATCACTTAATCTCTTTACTTTGTATTTATAAGTCCAGTTACCTTGAGAATCAGTGACAAATATGACACTATAGGCTAGTGTCTTAACAAAATGTTAAGGCAGCAGTGCACTAAGGTTATCATTGTCACTTGAGAAAACACTGATGCACATTAGCTGATACATTTGTTAAGTGAGTCCATTTATCATAGGCTGATTGGAGCAACCCTGAGATTCTTCATCTACATCAAGAATCTCTCTCCTTGAGAATACTTCTGTTACAGAGAATTTGGCTAATTCCCTCGGCTGCAGGCATGTTTATAGCATTAAACTAGAAGATTGTTTAGAAGAGCTGTGGTTTATTCAGTTTTTCTGAAGGGTAACTAGCATGTGAAGAAGTGCTGTTCAGGCATTTCAGTACTTATCTGATTTGTTTTAAAGGAACTTGGGATTTGAATTATAAACATATCAGTGTGGTTGACAAATGGGGAGAAGCGTGGTAGTTAAGAGAATTTCTTCCTATCAAGATAGAAAATGTAGTCAGACTGATTGATTGTTCCAAGACTCTTGGCAAAGAGCTTTCTAATTGGACCTTCAAAGATCTGCTTGTCAAAGAGCTTTCTAAAGTGTTGTTTTTTTTTTTTTCTTGTTGCCCTTCTGGTTTGCTGAGGAAGTATAGGCCTCCAGGGTCTATTAAAATGTCTCTGACATGATATGACCTCTAACAGGACAAACTATGAAAGTAGTTGCTAGTTGGTCAACTAGATGTAAAATAATCTGAAAGCAAAACTAGTATTAGTAACTGAGACCAGTGGTAAATTACCTCAGACTATTTGAATTTTTTTTCTTTTCTTTCTTTTTAATTTTTGTTTTTATTTGTTTATTTTTGGTTTTGGGAATTGGACCCAGGGTTTGTATGTGTTAAGTATGTGTTCTACCACTCAGCTTCTTACATGCCCTCTATTGCTTATTGTTGCTGTTATTATTATTATTATTGAGACATGTGTATAGCCCTGGCTGGCCTAGAACTTGCTATGTACACCAGACTGTCCTCGAACTCACAGAGATCCACCTGCCTCTGCCTCCTGAGTGCTGGGATTAAAGTCATGTGCCTCTATGCCTGGCTGCTATTGCTTATTTTTAATGTTAAATGAACTGGGTGAGATTGCTTATTGTAATCAGCAAGCTCCTCATTTTAGAGACTGTATTTAAAAATTAAGAGGGGTGGATAGATTAGTAATTGGAATCTATGGACAACACAAGGTGGTCATCCTAGCCTGTTCTTTTCCATTGTTTTCCTGCTGTAACTAGATGTAGAGATGCCCATGTTGAATGCTGGATCTTTCGGTTCCAGCCAGTAAAGAACTGGAAAGCAAAGGAAGGAATCCAGAAGCCAGGTAGAAAGGAACAGAAACCTGGAGAAAGGAAAATGTGACATTTGCTAAGCCACAGTGTATGGTTGCACTGGCTCCTGTCCACAGAGGAGATTCGGACAGCAAACCCCTCAAGAAGCTGTGCAGTACAGCTTTTCCTTTGTTTTGCTTACTTCCAAGTAGAGTTGAGTTTTCTCATTTGTTATATGTTTTTGAGAAGGAATTCTAGGAAACAAGTGTTTGAAGAGTAAAGGGGCAAATTTAAGAAACAAAACTAGTAGAGCTCTTGCCTGATTTTCTAGGGAGCCAGTGTTATATCAACATAAGTATCTTTTAATTTGATCATCTCTGATACTTTCTTCTAAGGGAATACCTTAAGACTCTTAAGTAAGCAATAAGAAAGACAACCAGTTTCTTTGATACAAAAGAAGCTTCTTTGATGAGTAGTGACTGGCATCCTAGTCTGTAAATATAAGGATCTATATCTAGCATCTAGTAAGAAATTAGCATATAGTAAGAAATGTCTAGGAGTGTGACAGCATTAGGATTTTCTCTAAGATCTATGACCTCTCCAGCCATATGTATTTGGCCATGTTACAGTACCATACACGAGTCCTCTCCCACTGAGTGGGCTTTAAGTCAGACAATGCCAGTCACCACTCATCAAAGAAGCTTCTTTTGCAACAGAGGGAGGCTGTTAAAGACATCCACAACTAGTCACACACAGAGAATTAGTGTCTTTAAGATGCCAAACGCTAAGTGACACATCTACAATGGAACCTCTATAACTAAGTCTCACAAAACATGGTGGAACAGGGGGTGGAGAGAATAGTAATGCATCTCTCAACTCTCATCAATGAAGCTCCCTCGTGTTGCAGATAGTAATTTGCACAAAAGGCCACAGTTGGCCAAAGTGTAGAGAATAAGTCTGCAGGGTGTGAGTCCCTGGACAGGAATCCTATATTAAACTCCACCCACCCAAGGCTCAGGGACCATTGTGGAAGAGAGGGTAGAAAGATTGTAAGAGCCAGGGAGAAAGTGCATTATTATATGTCGAAAGTCTTACAGCCTCCTGAAACCTTGCTCATAGGAGCCTACAGCAATGGTGTCAGCATGCAAAAGAACCCTGCAAACTCAAGCAGACAAAAACCCAGCATAGAACTGTGGAAATGGGCAGCAGGCCCCAACCTTAGCCAAAGAACTGTTGGCAACTGATTACTGCTGGGTGAGAGAGCGTTATCTTCTCTAAGGAAATGATTAGATAGGCTGACTAGACCCCAGGATGAACTTGCATTGAAGGCTGTCTGGGTTCACGAACTTGATTTGATAGGCTTTAACATAAGTGACAAAGTGTGTGAACTCTGATGGGAGCTATGGGAAGGTATAGATGGGGGAGGGATATAAACATGACTAAGGTGTTTCGTATGAAATACACAAATATTCAATAAAAATATACAAAACAAAGAGTGAAAGAGAGAAAGGAAAGATGAAAGGGAAGGAAGGAGGAAGGATGGAGGGAGGAAGAGGGAAGGAAGAAGGAAGGAGGAAGGAAGGGAAGAAGGGAAGGAAGGAGGGAGGGAAGGAGGAAGGAAGGAGGGAAGGAAGGAAGGGAGGGGGAAGGAAGGAGGAAGGAAGGAGGGAAGGAAGGAAGGAGGGATGGAAGGAAGAAAGAAGGAAGGAAGGAAGGGAGGAGGAAGGAAAGAGGGAAGGGAGGAAGGAAGGAGAAAGGAGGGAAGGAAGGAAAGGAAGGGAGGAGGAAGGAAAGAGGGAAGGGAGGAAGGAAGGAGGAAGGAGGGATAGGAGGAAGAAAGAAGGAAGGAGGAAGGAAGGAAGGGAGGAGGAAGGAAAGAGGGAAGGGAAGAAGGAGGAAGGAAGGAAGGGAGGGAGGAGGAAGGAAGGAAGGAGGAAGGAACAAAGGCAACCAGCTCAGCTTGATGGCACACACCTTTAATCTTAGCACTCTCACTCTGTGAGATCACAGACACCCTGATCTGTATAGAGAGTTCCAGACCAACTGGGGCTACAGGGAAACTGTGTCAAAATGACCAGACCAGACCAGACAGCTCTTAGTGGTGAAGGCTTGTCCCCTAGGACGGGGAGGGGAGGAGATGAGGATACTGATTCCATTCAAATCTGCTTTAAAAGGCATCCTAAAACAAATTGGCTAAACCTACAACCTCTGGCAAATGTAGAAATTCGTGAGTCACAAGGGGAGTATTTCTCCATAAGGGGAGTGTGTGTATAATGTGTCCCAGGGAGACCTTTTGCGATCTGATACATCACCAGGAACACTCATGGCCAATTGGTAAAGGATGTTTCCCAGAGGCGTTTTCAGCAGACTGGTTTGCATGCTAATTTCTGCTGTGTGGCTTGCAGGGCAGGATATCAGAACTGGAACTGCAGTTAAAACATGGCAAGGAAGGACCTGCTGAGGTGCAGTACAAAAGAAGCACAGCCTGGCTCTGGTAAGAGAAAAGCTCTGTGTTGCCCAGCATGGTGTGGAGACTGAGCAGCAGAGCACCTTAAAGGCTTTTGTGTTGACTGTGTTACCTTCTGTATGAACCAGAAAGGGAGAGCTCTGGGATATCTGATAGATGTGTTCTCACCCACTCCCTAGATATACTAAGGACAACTCCTTTTCAGAAACACACACACACACACACACACACACACACTCACAAATGTGTAGTCATCCCCCACCCCTCAGGATTTATGGGAATTGGAACCAGGGTCTACTGCAGATAGGAAAGCCTACTAAAGCTTGTGTCCCTTAAAAAAATGACATAGGATTTGGATGTACTCATTCTCCTGTACATTTTTAATTACCTTTGGATTGCTTTACAATACCTTGTCCAATGTAAATGCTTATTATACTGTGTTTGTTAGGAAATATGGCAAAAGTCTGACCATATTCAGTCCAGACACAATTTTTTTGAATATTTTATCTGCATTTGGATAGATCTATAGATGTAGATAAATCCTTGGATATAGAAGCCTAACTGAATCTATCTATCTATTTTTTTTTCTAATGCCATGTGGAAATGGTCTCCCCACAGCCTTTGTTTCTTATAATATTATTTTATGTCCCTTTGAATGAAAATTCTGTTTTTCCTACTCAGTTCATTGTCCCCCTCACATGTGATCTAGAATTATACCTGTTTTCCTTGGAGCCTGTCTTCCCCAAGACACCCTCAGTACTAGGGGACAACCCTGCTTTCTTAGACCGTTTGTTTCCTTGGCAGACACTCCTTAACGTATTCCCACTTTATTATGTAGAATGTGGAGATGCTGGCACATTAAAAGCAATATCAATCATTATATAGATTGGGAAGTATAGTTTTTCAGGTTAATTGCTACAGCAGCCAAAATTTCACTAAAGTGCTTAGAACCTAAATAGCTCCTTCAATAGCTACAGGTTACTTTAAGAAAAATCAGACAAAAATCACTTGATTGTAGAAAACCAAAATCATTATGTGTTTAATTCTGTTGGTTGCATTTTCTATATTGAAAATAGTAACCTACTTTAAAATTCTTGTAGTGGATTTAGTATTAGAAATTAAAAATTTTGGCGTCAATTCCTGTTTGCTGTATCTTTGACATCCAGTTTTGATTTCATCTTTTGAAAGTGGTAATTTGACAGGAATGAGATATTTGCTGCATTTTCCAATGTGCATAGAGAGACTTATGGATGTCTCTGATGAAACTCACAAACTCTGTGTGTGTGTCTGTCTCCCAGGGAGAAATGTACCTAAACAGCTCTAGATTAGTATGGAACGAGTTTGCTTTTCTTGTTGTTGTTTTTTTGGTCTTTTGAAACACGGTCTCTTTGTAGCCCCAGATGGCCTAGAACTCACTATGTAGACCAGGCTGGCCTTGAACTCACAGAGATCCGACTGCCTGTACCTCCCAAGTGCCAGTACGACAGGCATGTGCCACCACACCCGGCGTGAGTTTGCTTTTAAACTTGTAATAATGCATAAGATATTTGAAATGAGCTCTTTAGTAACTTCAACTACACCCCAAATCCATATAAAGGTAATTCTTTCTTATTTCAAAATGTATTGTCTGCTATGAGTCGAGCATTGTCCTGAGCTAAGAACAGCGGTTCTTTGTTTTCTCAAGACTTTTCTACCATTAAATAGAAACACATAATAAGCAAATAAACAAATGGAATATGAAATATTCTGTTTAGTGGAAGAAAAGTAAAATGGGGCAAAGGTAGTTGAAAGTAAATGGGCTGGATAAGGTAGAGAGGAGTTACTCTTCTGTGGCAGTCCTGGAGAGCCTCTTTAGTTTGGAATGAGACCTGAAGGAAGCAATGGACTGAGCCAAGCTAGGAAAGACCATTCCAGACAAAGAGTAAACTCAGAGGCCTAGGAGTGCAGCTAGGAAGAGAAGCATGTGACATGGAGAGCACAGGGAAGGAGGTAGTAGGATATGAACCAGATTCTGCAGAAGAGGGCTCTGCAAGAGGGAGAAGCAGGTGGATTTGAATCTGAGGATTTGAACTAATTTGGAAGGAGTGCTATGATGAAAACAGATCCTGGAGAATGTGTTGAGTTGACTGCAATAATTCAGGCAGAAGATGGTAGAGTTTGAGACTAAGGAATTAGCAGTAGAAGAAATGAAAAGTAAATAGAGGGGTTGGAGAAATGGCTCAGTGAGTAAGAATATTGACACTGCTCTTGCAGAGTACCTAGGTTAGATTCCCAATATTCACATGATGGCCAGCAACCCGCTGTAACACCTGTTCCAGGGGATCTGATGACATCTTCTGATCTCTGTGGGCATTACATGCACAGATACAATTTACATATATGCAAGCAAACCACTTAGACACATAAAATTAAATAAATAAATTTTTAAAAATTTATTTAATCACATAATTAGTTGAAGCATTTCATTACAACAACATTGACATAATCAATAACAGTTTCCAGAGCAAAGATGCATCTCTTTCAAAATTGGCTGTAATGTTTAGGTTCATAGTGTTGAATTAATACATTGCTGTTCTTTCTCCAGGAAGCAAGCACTTATATACACAACCGACACATATGTATCTAAAGCATAGAGACTGACACTAATTGCAAGACTCTTTTGCATACAATTCGTAGGAAACGGGTTTTTTTTTTAAATTTTTAATAGCCATATGATTAGAAGAAGCATTTCACTACAGCTTTGACATAATTAGTAACACACTCCACAGCAAGGATACATCTCTTTCAATAGTGACTGTAAATTTTTAGGTTCACAGTTGAATTAATACTGTTATACAATATTGAACTCAGTATAAATCCTGTAACACATAAAATTGAATGAGTTTTAAACCTTAAAAAAGATCTCCATTTCACTTTAAAATATACTGGTTTTATATTTTACCTACAGAAAGACTAATTTTTTTTTCTGACTATAAGTTTATTCAACACAAAATATTCTTCTTGAACTTCATTGAGGTGGCTGACCACGTCCACGACCAAATCTGCCTCTGAACTGGAATTTGGTTGCAGAGCCAGCCCAGAAAGACTAATTTTTAATGCTACTAACACTTAGATATTTGCACATGCATCTCTAATCTCTATGTATCTGATTATTACTTGTCACAGTCTGTTATACTTGGATCCTTGGCATCTGAGTATGGATAGAAAGTTATCAGGTAGATTTCAATGGTAATGTTTTTCACCTCTACTAATTAACATAAAGTAAATTTTTATGCTTCCTCCTCAAATATAACTCATTTTTTAATTTTTGAATTTTTTGTGTGTGTATCATACAGAACATCCCACACAATCTTATTCATATATATATACCCACTTCCCAAATGGCACCCTCCATAGCCTCGCCCCCCCATCCCCAACTGGAACCCACATACTCTATCATCCCTGTGACATTGTCCACTGTGTTGTCAGTGCCCCCAGCCATTTCCCCAGTGCTTGTCCATCGGCTGAATCTAGTCAGCCTATCTAGAGATCCTTGTTTTAGTAAGATCAGCTGTTCGTCATCTAGCAGCAATCAGCTGCCAATATTCCTTTAGGTTAAAATTGGGGTCTGCTGTTCATCTTCCCAGTTTTAAGCTGGGTTACTGTTTGGGAGTCTCTTGGGCCACCCTGGCCAGTAACTCAAAGGAAGGTATCTCCTGTCTGGAATTGTTTCTTGTTATGTAGCCTTTAACCATTCACATGGACTCTTAAAGAATTAAACTGATACAGTTAATGTTTGGTTATACTTTCCTTTGGATGTTTAAGACCATGCAGTTGGCCCAGCTAAATCAATTTGTTTTTACTCTTGAGGTCGTTTGAGGATCTGTTCCTCAGGGGTTACATGTTTTGAAAGCAGGTTTTTTAGACTTATGATTCCATAGATTTAAGTTATTAATTCAAGTGGAAGATGTAAGAGAAACATGGAAGTGAAGGATAACTAAATTTTGACACTGACTGAAGCTATGGAACTCCCATTTACCAATATAAGAAAACTAGCCCAGCCTGCTTGGTGAGTTTAAGATTTTTAGATGTAATGGGATGAGATACCTAATTATGTAACTGACTAGGTGTGTGAAGTAGATTCTTTATTGACTTTACAGTTCCAGGGAGAGGTCAGGACTGGAGATACCAGTTTGGGAATCCATAGCATTTTGGTGACATTTAAAATCATGGTTGGAGACAAAATTACCTAGAGAATTTGTAAAGAAAGAAAATATCAGAGATTGAGCTCTGGAGTTCTTCAATAGTTAAAGAGGACCAGTGAAACATGCAGAAAGCTCATGATCAGTGGTGGGACAGCTGGGAGTGTATAGCCACTCTGAAGCCAAGGAAAGATGGAAGTTAGCAGCTCTGACAAATGCTGAAGATGCAAATCTGGAATTGAGCATTAGATTTGAAAGTCTCCTGTGCCCATGACAGGAACTCTTGGTGGAGTTATGGGAATAAAAGCCAGATGAGAGAAGGACTTAGAGCTTCTTCAATAGTTAAATAGGACCAGTGAAACATGCAGAAAGCTCATGATCAGTGGTGGGACAGCTGGGAGTGTATAGCCACTCTGAAGCCAAGGAAAGATGGAAGTTAGCAGCTCTGACAAATGCTGAAGATGCAAATCTGGAATTGAGCATTAGATTTGAAAGTCTCCTGTGCCCATGACAGGAACTCTTTTGGTGGAGTTATGGGAATAAAAGCCAGATGAGAGAAGGACTTAGAGCAGTGCAATGAGGTAGAACTTGACAAAGTTAATTACACTCTAAAGAAGTTTTGATGTACACCAGGTGTGGTGGTGCAGACCTTTAATCCCAGCCCTCGGGAGGCAGAATCAGGCAGATCTCTGTGAGACCAGGCCATCCTGGTCCACATAATTACTTCCAGGTGAGCGGGGACTAGGGTGACCCTGTCAAAAGCTAACAAACAAAAAGCAACAAGAAGTTTTGGTATGTAAAGAGGCAGAAAATGGGGCAATAGTTGAAGGAACTGTTTGTAAGGAC